GTCAAGTTATATTGTTCGTTCTATCCATGAGTGTCTTCTAAATCTCTGTGGACGGGCGCGCCTTCGACACAGAGGGTCGTGGAACATGTGCGACTCGCGACTACAGTGACCAGCTCGTCTGTCAGCTGTCCGGTAAGCCGCTGGCGACGCTGGATGAGTTCACGCTCGGCAGTGCCCCCGCCCTGGACAACTACAACATCTCGGTGTTCGACGACTTCAATGTTCCCATGTCGTTCTCCCGCGATACCTTCGGTGTCAACCTCCTCTGCCTCGACGACAGCTGCTCCAATGTGGGGAAGGTCCAGCCTTGCACGACAAAGGCCTGCCTTCTACCCGTACTAGCTAGTGAGCTCTCCATCGCAGGGACATGACATGGTCGACGAGTATGCACATTGGTTGACGAGTACTTAGCTACTATTAGCATTGATCAGGACGACATGTCGCTGATGTCCTGCAAGTGCACGGGGCATTGTGGTTATTTCGTAAAGTGTCGAACCCACAGGAAACGAAAAGAATGACATTATCAACCCCGTAACTATGTTATCACCTATGCAGTTTGTATGCACCCAAATAGGAGTTCAAAAATGGTCCACTCCATCGGTTGCTACCGAAAAGATAAATCAGTTTTACTAAACTACGAAAGAAAAGGTAAAAACAGGAAATAAAAGGACAAAACTAAATGATGGCTGAGTTTGAGTAGTAAACGTTCTCTAGGGTTGCAGAGTAATGATCACTAATGCGATCTGCACAACACATGTGGAGGCATGGTTCTAGATCTCCATCTCTCTAGCCACATGTTATATGTCAAAAGTGGACCGATCCTAGTACACATACGCGCTACAAGAGTAATCTACATATGCCACCGCCTTAGTTTTCTCAGGCTGGTTTTCACTAGGTTGATTAAGTCTTTCCCCATAGACGCAACCATTCTTAGGTTTGCCACCACTCCCCTACAATTGCAAAGACGAAAACCGAAGAATATTACTGTCACCTCTTTACCTCAACCCTTAACCTCTAGAACAATAATAATATTGTCCATGGTCAATCTAGGCAAAAAAAAAAATGCGAGTGAAGCCTTCTCTCAACATTAATGGAGGCTATTAGCTGGACATAAATACGAAGATATCATATCTCCTATAGGAATTCAGTAGTTGAGAGGTCGAAGACAAACAGGAAACTAGTTGAGAAGTACTCCAGAAGAAGGCATCCACATAATTGAATCTATATCTGAAGGCTGAAAATGAATCGAGTGACCCTAAATTTATTTTCAGCGGACTTACCACTAGCCTCTGCTTTTTCTTGCCCATTTTTTACACGTAACAAGTAACCACTCATCTCTCGATCCATTTCCATTTCACTCAACAGTCGACACGGCAATGCCACCACATATTTTCGTGGACGCCTTGAGTGCATGGTTACCAGCGTTACCAGTACGGCGCCAGAAGCCCATAACGCTCGTCTTTCTTCGACGACATGGCCGTCTCGCCTCTTGCACTCGTGCTCCTCCTCCTCGCCTTCGCCGTGTCTCTCTTGTACATCCTCCGTAGGCCCGCCCCTCTGCGCAGCGGCAGCGATGGAGGACGGAGGCATCTTCCGCCGTCACCGCGCGGCCTCCCGCTGCTCGGCCACCTACATCTCCTCGGCTCGTTGCCGCACCGGGCCCTGCGGTCCCTGGCCGCCGCACACGGCCCGGTCCTGCTGCTCCGGCTCGGCCGCGTGCCCGCCGTGGTCGTGTCCTCGCCGGCCGCCGCGGAGGAGGTGATGAGGGCCCGCGACCTGGCCTTCGCGAGCCGGCCCCGGAGCGCCATGGCCGACCGGCTCCTCTACGGGCGCGACGTAGCGTTCGCGCCCTACGGCGAGTACTGGCGCCAGGCGCGCCGCGTGTGCGTGGTCCACCTCCTCAGCCCGCTCCGCATCCTCTCCTTCCGCGGCGTCCGGGAGGAGGAGGCCGCCGCGCTGGTCGAGCGCGTCCGCGGAGCGGCGGCGGGCGGCGCCGCCGTGGACCTGTGTGAGCTCCTCGTCGCCTACGCCAACACGGTGGTCTCGCGCGCCGCGTTCGGGGACGACAGCGCGCGCGGCCTGTATGAGGAAGGCAACAAGGAACGCGAGCTGAGGAAGGTGTTCAACGACTTCCAGGAGCTGCTCGGCACGGCGCCTCTGGGGGAGCTCCTGCCGTGGCTGGGGTGGTTGGACGCCGTGAGGGGGATGGAGGGGAAGATCAGACGGACGTTCAAGGCGCTCGACGGTGTGCTCGAGAAGGTGATCGGCGACCACCGCCGCCGGCGTCAAGCCGGCCAGCAGACGGGAGATGACGGCGGCGATCACAGGGATTTCGTGGACGTGTTGTTGGACGTGAGCGATACTGACGACGAAGCTGGCATGCGTCTCAGCACGACCGAAATCAAGGCCATCATTTTGGTACAGTACGTGTTTATTATGCCGCCGTGCTCGTTGTTAGTGGTTAACATGTTTCTTGTACGTACGTCGTCGACGCGCAGGACATGTTCGCGGCGGGCACGGACACGACGAGCACGGCAATGGAGTGGGCCATGGCGGAGGTCATCACGCACCCAGACAGCATGCGTAAGCTCCAGGACGAGCTCAGGGCGGCCGTCGGTGGCTCCGGGCACGTCATCACCGAGGACCACATCGACAAGCTGCACTACCTCAAGGCGGTGGTCAAGGAGACGCTACGCCTGCACCCACCGATCCCGCTCCTCGTGCCCCGAGAGCCACAAGACGACGCCGAGATACTCGGCCACCACGTCCCGGCGGGCACGCGGGTGGTCATCAACGCGTGGGCCGTCGGCCGGGACCCGGCGGCGTGGGAGCGCGCCGAGGAGTTCGTACCAGAGAGGTTTCTCGACGGCGCGGTGGACTACAAGGGGCAGGACTTCCAGCTGATACCGTTCGGTGCTGGGCGGCGGGGGTGCCCCGGGGTCGGATTCGCCGCGGCGACCGTTGAGATGGCGCTGGCGAGTTTGATGTACCATTTCGACTGGGAGCCGGCCGGGGCGTCGCTGGACATGCGCGAGGTGAACGGGCTCGCCGTGCATCTCAAGTCCGGCCTGCCGCTTGTCGCTAAACTGCGGTTTCGTTAGATAAACTTGTTGCTATGCAAGAAGAAACTGTAAAAATCTGTAAAAATGTATTGTAGTGTTTGCTTCAAAGCCTAACCGAATCTTGCATGGATCTCAGTATTGTAGTGTACTGTAGGGTTTCATGGAGAATTGAGGTATATGAGAGAATTCAAACTGGAGGCAGAAGGCAAAAGGAGCAAAGAGAAGGTAGGGAGACGACTAATTTCTTTTCGTTTTTTAGTCTACTGATTTCATTTCTTATGACCCCATCAGAACAGTGGTTCAACGTAACGTATATATCCTCGACAGTCGACACTCCAGGCCATGGGCCAAATGCTCACACACTTGCATGCGAATTTTCTTTTAAAATGTTGATATCTTTATAAAATCTCGAAACTATATTTCTCTTTGAAAAAAGGAAAATTTATCTCCTCGTCGTTGCCGTCGCGAACGAAGAGTTACCCTTCGATGCAGTCGTGGATAAAGAGATGGTCTTCGGACCAGTTTTTTTGGGCGATTCTACCAGATTCGCCCCCCTCCCCAGCTTCTCCCAGAATCACCACTCCATATGTTTTTTACAATCCTAACTAATTAGACCTTAACTAGATAAGATTGTAAAAAAAAATATGTAGTGACGATTTTAGGAGAAGTTGGGGAGGGAGGCGATTTTGAGAGAATCGCCGAAAAGAACTGGCCCTTTGTGGCGGCTACGGAAGAAGCGGGAGCCTTCGTGGAAGAAGAGTTGTCTTTGTCACTAGCCAAAACAAAAAACTTGCAAGACAACTCTGCTCCGACCTGACCATCATGACCACCACGGCCCAGTGGCGGAGCCAGCTATCTGGCAAGGTCTGGCAGCTGCCACACCTAAATTTCAACCAAAGGTACTAGTACACCTACGTGCTGGACATGGACCTGGTACTACAAGTACGTAGCTGGTGGGGATGATGTAAAACTCCGCCGAACAGAGCACGAGTACACGCAGGATAATAGAATATGGTACTTAAATTTGGATTTTAGTTGTATTTGCGAAACACAAAGTATTTATATATCTAATATTCTAGGCAGTTTTTGGTCAGTTGCATTTTACATGCTTTTCTCCTTCATAAGCTCGGCCACACCTGAAAATTATTTCTGAATTCGCCACTGCCACCGCCCACCAACTAGGACATCCGTCTTCCCAGGGTGGAGGCCTACAACGAGGCCTCAGGAGAGTAAGCGACCTCCGCCTTTCACGCGTATAGTGTAGTCGTCTTCACCTTGGGCGTAATATCAAGCCTATCTTGGTACGGCGTGACGGCTACTTCCGGGTCCTTATAGCCAGACACTACGGCAAGCAGGAGTGCGACGTCGTCTACTTCTAGCCGTCACCATCGAAGAAGATGCTGCCCTGATGTACAGGTATCCAATCGCGCGTGTGTGTGTTGCTTAAAATTTTAAATAGCGCACAACTTCGCGGACTAGTCCTTCTATTTGTAGATGGATGCGGAAGAAAATTTACATGTTGCCGTTGAAGATTTAGCGGACAACTGCTCTGACGGCTATGGCGTGGTACTTAAAACAGTGGTATAGCTTGCGTGTTTCCAGCCACCTTATCTGAGCACGCGCGACGACGACGAGTGCTGGCCCGGAAGACTGCGCGACACGGCGACGGGCGTTGGCCCTGATGCTCTGGACGACTGTGCACGAGGACAACGGCGCCGGCCATGATGCTCTGGACCTGGACGACTGCGCGAGCGAAGACGGCCATGAGTTGCGCTCGTATTTCTCTTTCTCCTGTGTGGACGTGAACGTGCGGGAAGGCTGCATGGGGTCATCTTATCCATGGATCAGGACAGTACCTGATCGGGGGTGTAGAATAGTGTATGTAAAACACAGCAACAATCAGCGTGTTGTATTTATCCTCATGTAGGAAATCCATTTATGCGGATGTCATCAATGACGGGCAACCTTTCCAACAACAAAAAAATTGTGTGTGGACAATGAAATTCCTCTTGAAAATAAAAATCTTCATGTGGTATTTAGAGTAGATCGTAAGGTTGTTCTCACGGGCTTCTACTCTGTCGGACCACGTGTTCCACTCCGACGATTGGGACATACTCTTTCCCAATGCGCACCTTCAGGCTATCACCACAGCTTGCTCGGATCATGCTCCATTATATCTTCAGGGGTGCGTCGACGAGCCGAGAAAGCCTTCCTTTAAATTCGAGGAATTCTGGCTTCGTCTCCTGGGCTTCAAGGACACCGTTGCCTTGGCATGGAACAAACCTGTTCAGGCCCGAGATGCCATCCGCAAGATTTATATCAAGCTCTGTCGGACCGTGAAGGCCCTGCGCAAGTGGCAAAAGGAAAAGGTTGAGATGCTTGGCTCCCAGATCGCAGTTGCCAAGGAGATCATCTGGCGCCTAGATGTTGCTGAGGAGGGAAGACCGCTCTCGGACTCGGAGAGGGAATTGCGTAAACAACTTAAGGCCTCGTACCTGGGGCTCCTCGCCATTCAGAAAATCAAGCTGAGACAGCGTTCTCGGCTCAACTGGATCCGACTGGGGGATGCCACCACAAAGCTTTTCCATGCTCGAGCGAACGGACGAAGGCGTAAGAACTTCATCCAGACAATCACCACCACCTCAGGGCTGGCAATTACCAGACAGGACAAGGAACGAGCCCTTCTGGACCACTTCCAGGCTAACATCGGCACGCCTGCCCTGCACACCAAGTCCATTGTCTGGGAGAGCATCGGGATGCAGCGCCATGACCTATCGGCTCTGGAAGCTCCATTCGACGAGGTGGAGATTAAGGAGGCGGTATTCTCCTTACCTTCGGTCAAGGCCCCGGGCCCTGATGGTTTCATCGGCGCCTTCTTCAAATCATGCTGGGAGATTATCAAAGTGGATGTCGTGGCTGTGGTGATGCAGCTCGCGAACCTGAGAGGCGACTGCGCTGGCCTGATCAATTCTGCCAACATTATTCTGCTCCCGAAAAAAGCCGGCGCATCCTCGATTGGCGACTATCACCCAATCAGTTTGATACACAGCATCTCCAAGATCTTCTCCAAGCTGTTGGCTAACCGACTAGCCCCTCTGCTTCCGTCGCTGGTTTCCAAGTGCCAGAGTGCCTTTGTGCAGAAATGGTGCATCCACGATAATTTCCTACACGTGCAAAACTTGATCAAAGAATTTGCACCGCTCTTCAATGCCAGGCCTTTTCCTCAAGCTCGACATCTCCAAGGCTTTCGACTCTGTGGGTTGGGCTTACCTCCTGGAGGTGCTGCAACAGTTGGGATTTGGGCAGCGCTGGCGGGATTGGATCTGCATGACCCTCGCTTCATCTTCCTCTAGGGTGTTGTTAAATGGGGAGCCGGGAACCCCATTCGTACATGGAAAAGGCCTTCGTCAGGGCGACCCGGTGTCGCCTATGCTCTTCATTCTGGCCATCGATCCTCTGCAACTTATGTTTCGGACGGCTTCCCAGGCCGGGATCCTCAAGCCCATCAGGGCGCGGACGGCCTCCTGCAGGGTTTCTCTCTATGCAGACGATGCGGGCATCTTCGCTAACCCGGTCAAAGAAGAGATCGACGCCATCGCTAGGATCCTTGCCTGTTTTGGTGATGCATCGGGCCTCGTCATAAACGTCAGCAAGACCGAGGTGTTCCCCATTCGCTGCCAGGACATCGATCTCCCGGCAATCCTCTCGGCCTTCCCGGCCAAGCTGACCTCGTTCCCCGGCCGATACCTAGGTCTCCCACTACATACCAGGCGGCTCAGAAGGGTTGACCTCTAACCTCTTCTAGACAAGGCAATGGGCCGGTTGCCGGGCTGGAAGGGGAAGAACCTGGCGCGACCGGGCAGGGTCTCCCTTGCAAAGTCCGTATTGTGCGCCATCGCAAATCATCACCTCACTGCGCTCTCGCTTCCCACTTGGGCAATCCAGAAGCTCAGTAAGATCACTCGTAACTTCATCTGGTGTGGGGAAGACTCGGAAAACACGTCTGGCGGACATTCTCTGGTCAACTGGAAGACTGTCTGCCGGCCTAAGCCCATGGGGGGCCTGGGAATCACTGACCTCGAGAGATTTGGTCGGGCGCTCCGACTGCGCTGGCCTTGGCTTATGTGGACTGATCCTGGCCGCCAATGGGTGGGCTCTGCGGTGCCCTGCGATGAGACGGATATGGCGCTCTTCAGGGCTTCTACCACCATCTCCTTGGGCAATGGGAGAAAATCCTTATTCTGGCACGACGACTGGACAGGACGGGGCCCCCTGTCCCGGGCCTTCCTGGAGTTGTATAAAATTGCCACCAGGAAGAGGAGAACTGTGATGAAGGAGCTCTAGGAGGAGAACTGGATCAGATTGGTGGCCCGTCTTTCATCGCCTACTCATCTGCAGGAGTTCATTGCCCTCGCATCAGCTATCTCTCAGGTTGAGTTGAACCCGGACCATGAGGACTCCATCACTTGGCGGTGGACCCCAAATGGCATATACTCTGCTGCTTCGGCATACGCGGTCCAGTTCTCTGCATCCTATCCCAGGTTTTCCCCAGCCAAGATTTGGGAGGCACACGCTGAGCCAAAATGCAAGTTCTTCGCCTGGCTTGTGCTCCACGGAAAAATCCTCACGGCCGACATGCTAGCCGTTCGTGGCTGGCCGCACAACCCTCGCTGCCCCCTTTGCCTTGGGGCACCGGAGACGGCCACTCATCTCTGCAAGGACTGCCCGTTTGCCACCGTAGTTTGGTCTCACGTCCAGGTGTGGACGGGAGAGGATTCTGGGGCCACGCCCACGTTGCCCCCTTCGATGGGGATTTCGGACTGGTGGGATTCATTCACCACCAATTTGCCCAAGGACGACGGAAGAAGACGGAGCGGCCGCTTCCTTTACACCATCTGGAACATCTGGAAGGAGCGAAACCGACGCATCTTCAATGGAACTCGCCTCACGCACCTAGAGGTAGCAGCTATTGCCTTCGACGACATCAAGCAAAGGACTTTGGCCTTTGGCCGAGCACAGACGGCAGCCGGTATCGGTTGATTAGTTCCTAGGGGGTTTTGTCCGGTTTCTCTCAGAAAACCGGATCTCTCTTGTACATAAACTTTATCCTCCTTCTTATATGAAAAGGCAGTGCTCCTGCCGGTTCCTCAAAAAAAAGGTTGTTCTCACAAAAGATAATCGATTTTTTTTTTGGCAAAGATGCACTAAGTGTTGTTTTTGTGGCGACAAGGAATCGATTCAGCATCTATTGCTTCACTACCCACTTGTCAAGCTATTATGGAGATCAATTCATATAGCTTTTAATCTACCTCCACTAATGAGTGGTACGATATGTTCGTAAACTGGTTGTTGGGGTGAATCCCAAGTTGAAGTTTCAAATCCATATGAGAATTTGGGCTTTACTTTGAGCCATTTATAACAACTCTAGTGATTGAAAAAAATATTTTTTTTTTCTGCAAGTTATCTTCAAGGCCATCAGCTTAATCCATAGCCCATAGGTGGTCGTTACTACGCAAAGAGGAGGATTGGGTGCCTACAGTCTTTGGTAGTAGCCGATGAGAGGTGATCTCTTAGAGTTCATTATACAGATTTAGTTAGTGTAGGATTTGTGATGTCATTTTCCTTTGTTTTTTTACTTTTTAGTTTGCCCTTGGGCTATCCATGTGTGCCCCCTTTTTCTAGAAAACTTTATTGTGATCAGTTGCTAAAATCTAAAATAATCAATAAACCGATGCAGAGAACGAGGGTATTCCGTGTTTTTGAGAGAAAAAATGAATTAGCTCACATTTAAATCAACACGTAGATAATTAGAGGGCATGAAGACAATAACTAACATGAACAAAAAAGAAGTAGCACATGAAGGCCGAGGCCTACTAAAAGGTACGATGGTCATCATCTCAGGCGCTGTGGAAATAACTCCGGCGGCTCACTGAATTCATGAGACATTAGATCTGGGTCCAAGGCTGAACATCACGCATGTGCGAAATCCTTTTATACGGATGTGGATAATGAAAAAGAATTGATGGGCATCCTTTCCAACAACAAAAAATGTGGACAATGAAATTCCTATTGAAAATAAAAATCTTCATGTGGTATTTAGGTCGCATGGTTATTCCGACAAAAGATAATCTGAAAAAAAAAGGAATTGACAGCGATACACGAAGTATTGCTTTTGTGGCGATAAGGAGTCAATTCAGCATCTATTCCTTCACTAGCCACTTATCAAGCTATTATGATGATCAATTTTTATAGCTTTTAATCTATCTCCACCAATGAGTGCTACGAATATATCCGGAAACTGGGTTAGTGCCGTGAATCCCAAGTTGAAGTCTCGGATCCGTGTAGGAATTTGCATTTAACTTTGAGCCATTTGAACAACTGTAATAATTTTAATTTTAACACAACAAAAAAATTAATTTTTCTGTAGGTTATCTTCAAGGCCCTCGGCTATTAAGCAAGGAGAGGAGGATCAGGCGCCTACGGTCTTTGGTTGTAGCTGCTAGGAGTGATCTCTTGAAATTTCTTCAACTAGTAGAATTCGTGATGTTATTTTCCTATGTTTTTTATTTCTAGTTTGCCCTTGGGCTATCCATGTGTGACAATTTTTTCAACTTTATTGTGATCAGTTGATAATTTTTAAAATAACTACGTTCAGGTTGTGCACATCACTCGATGTAGAGGCTGAGGATATCCCTTCTTTTTGAGAAAAAGGAAATTAGCTCACATTTAAATCAACACGTAGATAATTAGAGGGCATGAAGACAATTACTAATAACATGAATAAAAGAGAAGCTGCACATGAAGGCTGAGACCTACTAAAACGGTACGGTGGTCATCTTCTCAGTCGCTGTCGACATCACTCCGGCGGCTCACCCAAAAAACCTCTATCTAGCCCGTAAGCAAATGAACGATCATGCAAATGGACTTCACCAAGAGAATCATGCGAGAATTGATCACTTGTGGGGATCCATAGAGAATCCGTTTTATGAAATATCTGCTGAGAAGACTAGAAAGTTTTCAGCATCATTCCAGATTTATGAAGATCATGTTCCGACAACACCAGGAATACAGTGAATACTCGTTAAAAATACGCGCTCTGCAGGTTAAACAAACAGCATGAACAAATGCTCGGTTACGAAACAAAAAGCTAAACGAGAGCATTGCCTTCTCATCTCATTAAAGTTGTGGAAAAAACAAAGATCAATCTCCACATGACAGTGACGCCCAGTATTGCTGGCCACCAGAACTCCACATAAACAGCCGCTGGCAGCAAGTGATATACTCCCTGGATATATCAGTGAAAACGACGGAAGCTAACTTCTGGTCAAGCGTCTTCTTCAATCATGATTCAGATCAAGCGTTGCTCTTCTGGTCTTCGATTTTCTTCTGGAACGATGTGAACCATTGCTTCCAAGCCGCGTCTCCTTGTTGCTCGATCCAAGACAAGAAACAGCTGTCTAACAGGCAGAACAAGTTCACGTACAGCAGTTGATATCGCACGGGAATGAAGCGAAAGTTTGCGATCTGCACAGCCGGCCAGATGGCTCCCCCTAAAACCAGAGCAGGAATGATATCCCTCTTCACATCATCCTTCACCTGCTCCAGACTCCTTCCTGAAGCAAGGCCCACATAAGAGAAGAACAGCCCCAGATCTAGCGGCCCAAAGAGGAGACCATCCGCTGCAACCTTTGAGGCTACAAATTTGAACGAACCAGGCAGGTATCTTCGTCGGACCATACGATCCAAGTATTCGTACCTAGGTCACAAAAATGAGTACAAGTCATATGGCAGCTTGCTTCACGAAACCAAAAGTTGTTAACTCCTAAAATCAGTAGACTTTTGCTTAGCCACTAATAAACCAACAAGGTTAATTCCCAGATCTTAACCAGTGTTAGCACATCGACAGGGTGCAACGAATGAGACAAAGTTGTGGCGCACCAAAGTGGGAATGACAGTAGAGGTCTGTCGGAAGGTATTGTCCCATTTTATTTTTAGTTAAGAGATTTCAAACACCAATCTTGTTTCCAGTTCAAAACCTTGTGGCCAAATGAAAATTTAGACACTAACAACATGTTTAATTCGGTCCACTGCTAACTACTCTCCAGAAAGAGCAGTGTTTTAGTATACGAGTCTAAGGAGCAGTAAGAATGAGCGTGCAACAAAATGTGTGACACCATAAAGGATTTAATATTGAAGTGGATCGGTGAGAACAGAAATGAACATAAAAAGCTGCACAGCTGCAAAGTGCAGCCCAACCTAATTTTGCTCCAAAATTTGATGTGCAAACCAAGTTTTGATTCACAGCTTAACAATGAGGCAATATTCAGTACGAGAGGCCACCATTAACATGTTTGTGCATAGAGGCCTATAGTTCATAATGCTCTATTCATCTTTATTGTGCTGAAACAAACACACGCATTGCCACAAAGGTTGGCATTCACCGCTTCCAATTACACTAGTAATAATTAACCATGAAGTAAAAATTCAAACTTCCAATGAATTCATGAACTAAAAATCGATATGACCAAAGTATATGGCATTTAAGTGTCTTCAGTGTTTCACAGTTTATTACCCATTTATACTAATATTACGTCATCTGTATCAATGAGTCATCACCTAAAAGGAAAAGATAAGTGCATGATGAAAATTACTAAAATGCCTTCCATTTTGAAAATTATCGTGATTCATCATTTTGTTTTTTGCCATTTTATGGTTATGTGTTTGTGGCCCTCTTTGGATCCTTTATCTGCAGTTCTACACCATGTAACTATCAGCCTGAGACTTGGAAGATGGAGCTCTATCAGATTTACCATGTTAATGTTGTCCAAACTATAATAATTTGATTTCTAATCAGCCTAAAACCAGAAAATAAAGAAACCGCAACAAAGTTGAGCTTAACACCATCTGCTCATACCATATATGAAATTATGAGAACTAACCAGTAATGTCCCACAGGTCCAACAAAAGCAAATCCAAATGAACTTGTGATGCCGACCCTCTTCCAATCAATTTTGAACTCTTTATCTTTATCCTGAAAAGGTAACAGAGCTTCGTTAAGTGGATAACAATGAAAGTGCAGAATATTAAGTTTCGGTTTGAATTTCTTAGATTTTGAAATTTAAAGATTGGTTTACAGACTTAAAACATCAAATTCAAAACCAGTTTCCTGATTATTAGAAACAAACTATGCAGCCGGTAATTCTCTGTTTAACAACAGAACCTTGATTCTTAGCAGAAACAATAGTCAAATAGTACTCCATCACCATGCTGGCTGGTCTCAAATCTAAAATAACAAATATATCTAAAGCTAAAGATCAGACAGAAGGGGTACCATTTGATATTTAAGAAAATGAAAACTGAAAGCATGTTTTGAGGAGCGCTTAGACATGAACATTGCAGAAAGTACATACTCAAAGGAATAACATCGAAATCAACCTCTCATTCAATAACCCATTCACTCTGATTCTATTTTTCTGGGATGAAACCCAAAAAGCTCTAAAATCACCAAACAATACATGGATACACCAAACGGAGCGAAAAACAAATAGGCACTCAAATAATCGAGTGACACTATGGACCAATAAAATCCCCTACCCCAGTTTTAGCAACAATGCTCCAATGTATTACTGAAAAGAACTGCCAGATGACAACACACCAACAACAGCATATGGAGATAACCTTAGGAACAGATTTGGCGAAATAGCCTTCTTTTGAGGTGGGCAAAATAGGCTTTAGTCAACAAGAGAACATCAAACGCAACATAAACCCTACCCAAACATCAAACTGGTATGTGATTAAACAACAATTTACTTACAGAAGTTCTAATATTATTATTCTTCGCATGGAAAATCAACAGCACAAGCAAACGAACCGCGAAACTGGCGTTGGTTTATGTAGTTACTTTCTCCAATGACCAATCACATATCGACCCTGTTGAAACAGATTAAGCATCCCCTACGCCTAAAAATCGATCCCTCTGGTAGCCTAGGTTTACATATACCCCAGGGAAGTCCCCACTCCCAGGCGACCAGATTAGCTGAGGCGCGACGGCATCCAAGAACGACCATGGAATCCGGGGATCAGTAGCTGGAGAAGGAAGAAGTGGTAGGGGCGGTTGACTGGCTACCTCGGGGTTCTTGGCGTGGTGGTGGTGGGAGCTGGCGGATTTGTGGGTGACGGCCTGGGCGCCGATGTCGCCGAGGGCCCAGAGGATGCCGGAGCTGACGACCTGCGTCCGCACGGGGTAGGAGGACAGGGACTGCTGGTACCATCGCCATAGCCGCCGCATCCCTGCGAGCGAGCAGAAAAGATTGACGGGGGAGAAGGGGAAAGGAAGGAAGGAAGTGGGGGAGTCGTCCCCTCCCCTCTATTTCCTTGGATTTGTTCTTTGGGATTTCGCTCGGTTTTTTGAGCTAGGGTTAGAGCAACTCTAGCCGACCTCGCAAAATCTAGACCCGCAAAACGCGTTTGCAGTTTCATCAAGATCTCGTTTGCGGGTCGAGAACTAGTGCGGCCGAACAGAAACTATAGATAAAACTGCATAATTTGAAGAAAAAAATCACGGAAGAAATTGCATCTCGTGGACGCGAGAGTATTACATATATTTTACATGATCAAACACTACAAATACTAGTTCATACTACATACTGCATCAGTACTAGTACTAGAGGGGTGTGGATCTCACAGCGGCGAGCTCGCGGCCATGGACGACATCGTGGAGGAGCTCAATCCTCCTCGCCGGAGCTGCCAAGGTCGATGTACTTCACCCTCTGCTCCTCACGGATGCCCCACGACTCGTCGTCCTTCTCCTTGGCGGCGAGGTTGGTCGCGACTACCTGCCGGAACTGGAGGTCTTCGAGCTCCTCGTGGTGGCGCCGGCGCTCCGCCTCCTCGCGCACGCTCCGCTCAGCAATGGAGGCCGCAACCGCGTCGGCGTCGGCGACGAAGTCCTCCGGCTCGACGACTCCGCGACGGCCGAGCTCCTCGGGCTCCTCCTTGACGGGGACGAACTCGAAGTCCTTCGGCTCCTCCGGCTCCTCTGACCATTCCCTCTTCACGGGGAGAAGGCCCGCGCCGGAAGAGGATGAGCTCCCGGCGTAGGAAGATCTCGCCGCGAGAGAAGGACGCGGCAGAGGGCGGGGTACGACCATGCCGACGGTCGTACTCGTCCATCTCGCGGACGCGGAAGCTCGACGGTGGCGAGAGGCCGCGGTTGGTCCACTTCCTCGCCCCGCGCTTCCTCACGCCGTCTGACCGGACGCGCCGCTCGCGCTCGGGGTCGCTGCCGCCGTTGGATCTGCTGCCGGAGCCGCGTCCGGAGCTCCACATGCGGCCCCACATGGGGCTGGAGGCGGAAGGTGGTTGCCGGCGGCGAGAAATGGAGAGAAGGGGGTGGGTAATTGAGTGGCTCGGCGGCAGCGGGGGATAGGGTTTTGACCGCAAAGCGCCGAGAAACCGTAGATATAGTGGTTGAGGCGTGCGGTTTACGGGCCGCGGCAAATTTTTTTACGGGCCGGGCGAGTATGCGGGCTCTATTATGGCCGGAAAATTGGACCGAGCCCGCATACTCGCCGGAATTTTGCGGGTTCGCGACTTTTGCGAGGTCTGCTAGAGTTGCTCTTAGGTGGGCAGAAAGAATGGTGGGTTGCCTCCACCCAATCAGCCTTCGACAATTTCCTTTAATATTTTTTTCAGAGTCTTTTATGGCAAACAGGGAAATGCGGGGGTTGGAGGGCGGGGTCAACTTTGCCATACTATCTATCTGATTCGTGACATGGATGATTATTGAGAGGAATTTTAGTAGAAGTCAGTATAACCTTCAAAATTTATATGAAGCATGCTTCGTATGAATATGGAGGTCGTTGAGACAAAGCGCAAATACAAAATCGTTAAAAAAGTGCGCTATAATATCTTGTTTTTACGTGGGACCCATTTGTCAATGGCTAAAAGTCATCTTTCTTCTCGACCTCAACATTGGATGTTTTTAAGCTAGGATTTTAACATGGATTTACAAAATGGATTTGAAGAAAGATTACAAGTAGATTTGAACAATCTAGGGCCAAACTTTTAAGTAGCAGATAGATAGCGGGGTGATAGTGGAATGAGGTTGGCGTAGAGGAATGCGGATAGCGGGCCAGATTATGGGCGATATGTCCGCATAGCGGATTTCTAAAAACACTTACAAATTTGATATTATTGTGTATATTTCTAAGCCATTGACAACGAACATGGCCCTTGAATTGATTGTTCAGCATATATATAAGCATATAAGCATCGAAAAAACGAACCACGTGTGAAACCAAGCTCTCTCAGAGCTTAGGGACTCTGGATCGTCCGATGTGTTTGCTTGATGCGATCTGGGCCGTCAGATTGAGCCCTGAGACGACCTCGCCCGTCGGATCAAAGAGGGGCTCTTGTAGCAATGAATATTTTCACCCCCTTCATGCCACCGCGTGGAATTAGACAGCCCCGTCGAGGGCATTTTCATCATTTCACACACAGAGGTATGATGTCTGCTACAATTACGTCGGTATTTCCCGAAAGAGGAAGGGATGATGCAGCACAACAGATCAAGGTTATCGAACCAGTAGGAGAACCACACAACATTACCTGAACGGCACCTGCACACAAATAAAAAATATTTGCAACCCTACGTATCAAAGGGGTTGTCAATCCCTTTCGGATAACGGTGTCAGAAATTGGCAAACGGACGTGGGAAAGTTGTAATAAGTTGATAGGTTGAAAGACAAATAAAATAAAGTGCAGTAAGGTAATTTTCAATTTTCTGTTTAATAGATCTAAAAATAAAAGTAAAGAAAAATATATCGCAAAGGCAAATATAGTAAAGAAGAGACCCGGGGGCCGTATACTTCACTAGTGGCTTCTCTCGAGAAAAATAGCAAACCGAGGGTAAACGAAGTACTATTGGGCAATTGATAGAACTTCAAATAATCATGACTATATCCAGGCAATGATCATTATATAGGCATTACGTCCAAGATTAGTAGACCGACTCCTGCATGCATCTACTACTATTGCTCCACACATCGCTCGCTATCCAGCATGCGTCTAGTGTATTAAGTTCATGAAAAAACGGAGTAATGCAATAAGAACGATGACATGATGTGGACAAGATCTATTTATGTTGAAATAGACCCTATCTTGTTATCCTTAATGGCAACAATACATACGTGTCGGTTCCCCTTCTGTCACTGGGATCAAGCACCGTAAGATCAAACCCATCACAAAGCACCTCTTCCCATTGCAAGATAAATAGATAAAGTTGGCGAAACAAAACCCAAATATCGAAAAAGAAATACAAGGATATAAGCAATCGTGCATATAATAGATCAAAGAAGACTCAAATAACTTTCATGGATAAAAAGATAGATCTTATCATAAACTCAAAGTTCATCCGATCCCAACAAACACACCGCAAAAAGAGTTACATCATATGGATCTTCAAGAGACCATTGTATTGAGAATCAAACGAGAGAAAGGAAGCCATCTAGCTACTAACTACGGACCGAAGGTCTACAAAAGACTACTCACGCATCATCGGAGAGGCACCAATGGACATGATGAACCCCTCCGTGATGGTGTCTAGATTGGATTTGGTGGTTCTGGAACTTGCGGCCGCTGGAATTGATTTTCGTTGACTCCCCTAAGATTTTTGGAATATTGGGGTATTTATAGAGTAAAGAGGCGTTTCGGGAGGCAACCGAGGTGGGCACAACCCACCAGGGCGCGTCTGGGCCTCCAGGCGCGCCCTGGTGGGTTGTGCTCCCCTCGGAGCACCCCGGGTGCTTCTTCGGCCCACTGGATGTCTTCTGGTCCAAAAAAATCCACAAAAACTTTTGCTGTGTTTGGACTCCGTTTGATATTGATTTCATGTGATGTAAAAACATGCAAAAACAGCAAACTGGCACTTGGCACTATATCAATAGGTTAGTACCAAAAAATAATATAAAATGATTATAAATCATCCAAGAATGATAATATAACAGCATGGAATAATAAAAAATTATAGATACGTTGGAGACGTATCAGCATCCCAAGCTTAATTCCTGCTCGCCCTTGAGTAGGTAAATGATAAAAACAGAATTTTTGATGTGGAATGATATCTAACATGTCACACTGGTACACGTCGGTGCTATACAAACAGTTTTTAACCTCTTTCTGCGACGCCATTTGGAACCGTCGCCAAGTGAGTGTGGACGATAGGAGGGTCCCTCCCACACGACCCAGAAATCGTCGGGGATAGGCCCTCCTGGGACACCAAATGAGCTCGTGTGCGACCGGGCGAGGCATCGAAACCCAATCATTTTCGTAGGTATGTACATCCCACATGGTGAATCCCAGAAAAACATTTCCGTAAGTATGTATATCACACACAGTCAATCCAAGGAATATGTTTCCGTTCTTATGTACATCCTACATAGTCAATTCAGGAAAAACGTTTCCGTTCGTATGTACATCACACACAGTTTTATGTGTAGGCTCGTGTGTGAAAGGTGTAATTATCACACATGCTCTGCCTTGGTTAATTGTTTGCTTTTATCAACTACATCACACACGATTTGATGAAGAAAACTGTGTGGCATTGGACTATCCATCACAAGCGCTTTTACTGCTAGAACCGTTTGCAAAGTTTCATGACACATTTAGTAGGTTTATTAGTTTACAATTAATAATTCCAGTATTACGCAAATTCACATTTCATATCGAACAGCTATTTGCCAATTTCATATCAGGCACATAAATATATTATAACATCAAAGTACGATAGCTACATGAAAACAGCACAGTACAACATATAGCTAGTTCAACTTCATAAGAACAATATTAGAACAATATATTCATTTCCCTAATCGAGATCATACATGCTCGTCTTATCCACCTCTGCTGTCAGTTTAGTAAGAACATGTTTTGCATTGGCCAACTGGAAAAGTGCCTCCTCCTCCGCCAACACCATCTTAGCAAAGTCTGATTTAAAAAATCTGAGCTCATTCTCCACCTTCCTCTTTATATCCTGTATCTTAAAATATTCTTAAGCGTTGACAACACTTTCTCTATTCTCTTCCTCATACATGCTCCAGAGCTTCGCTAGACACATCTTCAAAGATTGTGGCCACTCTTGATCAACCTAAGAACACTTTCGTTCATCCTATAATATTTAAAACTAGATCAGTAACAATTGTAGGGGAAACGGTTTTATAGCAACATAGAAAATACACAATGCTTATTTTAAAAAACTGAAGAAATATGTTAATTATGACATATCTTCTC